TTTTTTTTTTTTTTGGTTGTCTTTTGAGACAGGATCTGCTATATAATTCAGGCTGGCCTTACACTCACCATGTAGCTCAGGCTGGCTTCAAACTCATGGTGATCCTCCTACCTCAGCCTCCCAAGTGCTGGTATCACAGGCCTGCACCACCATACCTGGCCCAAATTTCTGAGTCTGTTCTTCCTCCATTCCCTTAAGACTCAGCAAAGTTCATAAACACAACTGCATAGGGTAAGTGAAGGCTCATGCCACCCCTTCAATAAAACATACTTTCCTCCCTCCACTTGGAAGGCCAAGCTTTCAGAAAGGGTGACTGGAGACAGGTCTCTCCTCCCAAGGTCACTCACCCAGGAGACACTAGCAAACTTTCTACGCTCCCAGTTGAGGCATACTCTCAAACTGGACCTCACAGAGGGTGGCTGGAAGCCCCAGGAACACAACTGCACAAGGAAACATACACCAACCAGCCAGGAAGACAAGGCAGCACCCTGCATCTCCTAACTAACTGGTGAGCAGGAAAAACTTCCTCCAATACCCGTGTGGCACTTTTTTTCCATTTATAAAGAAAGCCTTGTTTGAAACAAACAAGCCAGCAAAGCCTTTACGAATTGTATCATTTCAGATTCACATTTCCCAACGGGCTTCCTAGTTCTTCACAAATAAAATCGCCAGCTCACTCTGCTTCCTCACTTTAATAATTGGAGGGTGGGGGTTGGGAGGGGGAGCTATATCTAGAGAGACTGTAGACATCCGATCAGAATTCAAGACAGCTTCTCACAATTCTTCTTGTTTATAGAAAATGAATGTCTGCCTGGCTTGCTTTAGTTCGGCGAAGGGGGTCAGTCTTTATCAGCGCAGTTCACACACATTCTGGATTTTTTTTCCCTTATCTTAAATTGGCCCACTTTTAAGATAAAGACATAATAGAAAAAGCATCGACCTTACCTGGTCCCTAATGAGGTGGAAGTCAGAAAACCTCGCTCTCATTTCCTCTTATCTCGGATCGCCCAGCCTGAGAAGAGACTCGCTCTACCTCGCGTGCACTTCTCCTAGAGAGGTCAGCCCCTGGCGAGGCCGGGATGCGGCGGAGTGAAGCGCGCTCGGAGCGCCCGCGGCCTCCAAAGTCTGAGAAGTCTTCCGAGAGAGACTTCGGTGCCAGATCCGAGCACTGCCACTAGAGCTCCCTGGCCCCAGCCCAGGAGGATCTGAAGTCCCTCGGAAAGCTCCCATCAAGTCTTTCCCTAGCGACGGCCAAGCCCTAAGCAGTGGGGAAAGCTGCCTCCTGCGAGGGCCTGGGACAGGAGCGCTGGCCTCGCTGGTCCCCAGGACCAAGTGCCCGAGAGCTTCTTGAGGAGTGGGCCCTGGCCTGGACTGGATTTCGCTCAGAGTCCCCAGGCTGCTCTGACATTCCTGCCCTCGCCAGCCTCCCAGCCTTGAGGATCCCAGCCTGTGCCCCCGCGGTGGCAGCAGGATTCCACCCCCCTTCCCTGTGCAGGGCATCTCGGTCCTGCTCTTCTCGCCTCCCCCGAGCCTAGCCCAGTCCACGGCCCTGCCAGCTGAGAGGGCTGCTTTCCTTCCTCCCTGGACCACAGCTTGGGGTTCCCAGGCTGGGGCAGGGGTGGGGAGCTGCTTTCGGATGCTAAACACCAAACAAGCCAAGCCTGGGGTTTCAGGCCCTGAAGCCACTAGAGCGGCTCTCCAGGGCTCTCGAGAAAGTCCTCCTGTTTACAAGGCAGTGTGGGGGTGGGGTGAGGGAGAGGAAGGAAGAGGGGGTGGGATGCTGTTTGCAAAATCTCCCTTACTCCCGGAGGCGTCGGGGGCCAGGGTGGGGTGAGCTACTTTGGAGGGGGCAAAGTTTCTCGGGATCGCAGGATGAACGGTTCTGCCCGCTCATGTGAGGAAGGGTTCTGCTCTTCCAGCCCCTGAGCGACTGGAACATCCAGAATGCTGATTTCTCCTCCAGAGGAGCCAGAATAGACCAGGGCTGGGGGTCGATGGAGATCTAAGATAAGGGACGCCAGGAAAGGACAGCACTGGCTTCCCAGAGGCTGCTGGGGCTCTGTGGGCAGAGGGTGTCCCCAAGCTGCGAGATGAGCACCCTGGTGTTTATCTAAAAGACGCTTCTGACCGCGGCCTACGGGCTGCTTCCCCAAGCTGCGACAAGTTCCCCAGCCTGGAGCTGGTGTGGTGGACTCCAAGTGATTGATGGGAGAAAAGGCCAAGGCCCTGTTTATCTCAGTCCCATCCTCAGACCCGAGCCCGAATTCACCTTTTCCCGGGACAAGTAAACAGACTTCAAACTGAGCCGGCGGTGGAAGGAGAATGTGTTTGATAGAAAGTCCACCCAGCACAGGGGCGACAAAGTTTAGACTACCACTCAGCACAGCGTAACTGTGACTCGCAGGCACAGCGGGGAAGGGGTAGCCCGAGGGCCGAAGGCCTGCTCCGCCGGCCCCACGGCTTCCAGGCTTGTGCTGGCCTTGGGAGGTTAGAGCTAATCTCCCACCTCACAGAATTGGGGTCCTAGAGCCAAACAGCAGCTGCAGTACCCGCCTCCCCTACCCAGCCCCCTCCCAGGCCACCTGCACTCCTTGCCCCAGAACGACCAATCGCTACCCTTTCTAACACACATGCCCAAACTTTCTGGGTTTCGTGCGTTTCTCAATCAGCACATTCACTAGACCCAACCAACCACCCTTTCAGAATCTCCAGGTCCCTTCAAGATATTGGAAACTAGATCTCAGTAGCCAGGCCTGGTTTCTGTGGGGAGAAATTCCTTCCTCGCCTCTAATCCTAAATTATCACTAGAGAGGAGCCCCCTGGAAGTCCAGGAAGAGCACTTGTAGGTGAGGCCAAGGACATGGCCAATCTATTTCCCACGGAAATGGTGGAGGAGTTAGAAACAGAATGAAATGGAAAGGAGAGGAAGAGAAAGGGAGGCAAGAAAGAAAAAAGAAAGTTGAAAGTCTAGGTGAGAAGTGAGCACAAGCCAAACAGGAATCAGCCTCCCAAATAAACCTTCCAGGTCTGGAAGGAAAGTGCTGGGAGGGGTGCCTGTCTGAAACCCACTAGGCTGCCTGCACTTTGTAGGTTTTGGGGAGTAGCAGGGAAAAGACCATCCAAAGTTCTGATTTTTCTTTCTGTCCGCAGCCGCTCCTTCCATTGCTGCCACCCTTCACCCCTCAAAGCAGCCTTAATGGTTCCTCAACACGTTTATCTGAGAGCCGAGACCAGGAAAGTAGAAATTATAAGAAAAGCAGTAAAACATATTTTTGCTGGGATGGGAAGGAGGTAGAGAGTTGAGACCAAGAGAAAGATGCCCTGTTGTAAAGATCGAGGAGCCCAGAGGTGGAAAGCATTGGAACAAAATGTGAAACAACAGCCCAAAGCCCTATAGCAGGCATCCTCAGTCCAGCCACCGAGCCCAATGTGGACACCCAAGCCACAGCCGCTGGGGATGGGGGTCTGGATCCCTGAGCACAGTTTGCTGTTTTCGAAATAAAACTCACCGAGACTTCAATTTGAAAAACTGCCACTCACCAAATTCTAACTGTGAAGGAGCTTGGCTGTAGATTAGAAATAATGGGTTTGACGTTCAAGCCTATGGAAGGAACTCATGTACTGAAATACTAACTCATTCAGTGTCATCTCAAACAGATGTCCTAGCTCACTGCTGTTAAATGATCCCTTGGCTGCTGTTTAAGATCACAGTAGGTAGTTTCCAGGTATCTAAAAAGCAGAACCTGACTCTGAAAATGAGTCCCATGGTCTTTTTTCCTTCCTTTCTCTCTGGGTCCTGCTAAAGGTAGTTCAGCTTTGCTCTTCTCTAGTCTCAGGATTGCTTATGATTTGGTTCCACTCAGTCCCAAAGAAGAAGATTCCCTTTACCCATGAGACAGAAACTCTGAACCTGGCCTCCTTATCTGGTTCAGAATCCTTTGAGCTCAGACCTAAACAATTCAGATCCCATTAGCCCAAAGATGAGTTCCCCCAAAAAGCCATTTAAAGCCAAATCAAAATCAAACAAAAAGATGTTTTTAATCAGAAAAAGAACCTTTTAAATTTGTATAATTTATTAGAAGCTTCTTAGGAACTATATTTAAGCCAAATATCTACATAAGTTACAACAGAAAAAGACTGACGTGGCAAATACCAAAACTGCCAAATAATATACACAAATTTGTCAATGCCCATTTAAAAAAAATGTGAGGGGCTGGGGATAGGGAGTGTTTTTTTTTTCTTTTTTACAACAAAATGTACAGATTGCTAAAAACTAGGCATTTAATCCAACTTTTGACAGCATTTTACAGCTACAAGTTCACATCAAACATAAAACAATTTTTCTAGGGGGGTATGGCTGGGCGGAACCTGCACTGCCAGAGGTCACCTGGGAAGGGGCACTTCCTTTGTGTCACTGACAAGTGGGTTACGTCGAGGAATCTTCCCTCTCCCCAGCTCCCTTCCTCCCTTCTTAGAAAAGAGAGAGAGGGGCAGAGAGGGAGGGAGAGAGGGGAAGAGAGAGAGAGAGAGAGAGAGTGAGGGAGAGAGAGGAAGAGAGAGAGAGAGAGAGAGAGAGAGAGAGAGAGAGAGAGAGAGAGAATATTCTGGTATTTACAAGCGAGTCCTCTTTGCTGGAAAAGTGTACCAAGAGTGAAGTTTGAGGTCTTTGGAGTCCAGAGCCAGACAGTGCAGAGCCCTCTCCAAACTGTGCCCCAGCATGGGAAACCTCTTTGAATCACCAAAAAGACACCCCCACAGCTGTTCTTTCTATGTCTTTCTAGGTTTAAAGACTCCGTAAGGAATTGAATTGGCTTGGCTGGTTTTATTTTCTTTTTTTAAAAAAAATCCACAAATTTTAGAAAGAAAAAAAAAAACAAAAGAAAGAAAGACGTCCAGCAGTTTGGCCTTTGTGTAGTATTCCTTGGTCTAAACGCGGACAGGTTCTTAAGAAAAGTCAAAGCGCTTGGAGCAGCGGCTGAACGGTGGTCTTTGTGGCGGGTAGAGGGGAAGTGGTGAGGCAGCGCTCTGGGCTAGGGCCGGCCTCGAGTTCTCTCACCAGGTCCGACCATATAGCAAGGTGGAGCAGGACATGGTACCGTAGTCCGAGCCCGAGGAGTTCAGGTGAGACAGGCTGGAG